TATCTTATCTTATCTTATCTTATCTTAAAATGGGTAAAATCATGTGTACTAAGCCAATTTTCTTAAGTATAAAGATGCTTTCTTTGACTTTTTGTATTTGAAGGATAGGTATGTCACAGGCACTTTAAGGCTCAATTTGGATTTTTTGAAAAAATCTGATTGTTTGGCGTGAACGTTCAATGCAACCTGCGTCAGACTCCAGTGTGAACGCTCCACGACACTCATGTGAACTGTATGTGTAGAAGAAGGCATCACATCTCATTCAGCAGACTTGTTTGTTTACAGAGTTAGCATGGATGCTACTTTTAGCATGTCGAATTTGAAGTTGTTTAATCAGTTGTTTAATTAAATAATTATCTGACATGTTTGTTTAGTTCAGTGTTTATATCTGAACCTGTCTCTGAGCGGGATGCTCCTCTGCAGCATTTTATTTTTGGAACGAAGCAACGAGCTGGAAATAAAGYATCGACTGAGTAACTTTAGGATTGATACGCTCYRCGACAGAGGCTGGACGTTMCTGTCATACCATCGACATGGAAAATTAAAAGTAAAAAGACGAAGCAACTGCACTTCTGTATTGAAGCTGTAAAGTAGCTACAGATTTAAACAGCTTGACTTGAGGTTAGTTATCGATCCTTCACCACCACCTCACTGATAAAAAAAAAATTTTAAAAATCTGATTTGGGTCGAATTTACCTGCAATGTGAACAAAGCCCAATGGTGGCATCAGGAATTGAAATATTGCAATATTTCAGTGCGTTGATATTCTCCTACACCCCTAGCCGCTTCTTGAAGATTTGATGCAGATAATCACGCTTTAAACCTGGATTTAATCCTGTTGAGATGTGCTTAAATGCAGATTTTAAGTTAGTYAAAATGTACTTGCAGGAGATTTTGMACAGCAATACGAACAAGGTTCAGCTCCACGTCTGCCTCGGCAGCAATTTTCTGAATGTGTCTGAAGCCATCGATGTAAGGCAGAATCTGCAGAGAACAAAACAGAACACAAGGCTTTACATCTTTGTTTTGAGCTTAACGGTCCAAAGTGTCCGACGAATATACACAACATTCACTGTAAACACGTGAAAGTGATATATTTACAGCAGCAACAGCAGTGGATTGCACCAATTAAACAGCACCTTCTCCTGGAAAATAGCCTCATTTCCACACATCAAAATAAAAGACAATGAAATGAGTTTCCATATCTCGTCCTAAACTGCGATAAGCCTTTAGTCTCTAATCTTTCTATCACTGCTTCTTGGAATTTAGGCACATGTCCTCTGCCTGTTGACATCAACAACCGCTTATTGTTCTTGCCTGTTGAGTAGTGAGATCCCACTGAGATTTGATGAAGAGATCCTTGCACTCGGTAAAAACAGGAACGTCGTATTCCTGKACAACTGGAGGGTCCTTCCTCAGCTGAATCAGTTTTAGGTGGATGGTGTTGGAATCATCTAAAAACAGAGGGAAAAAGGGAGGAAGCAGAATCCAACAGGTTAAAAGAACTAGCATTTTAACTGCTCTTGGCACAYGCAACAAGCACACAACACAAGCATTGTGTCCTTTTGTTCGGTTTTAAAGTGCGTCTATTGAACTGGATTTTGGGAAAAGAGGACCTCGTGCCAGAAGCCAATAATAACCAAATATTTCTAGGAAAAATTCTTCCACRAAGAACAGGCTTGGCAACATGTCCTCTGAAGATTATTATACCTCAGAACCAGTTTTCACTAAAGTTTTTTTTTTACCTAGAAGAACAAGCAGTAAAACCAAATATCATAAAAGATGAACTGTAAACCTTTGCAAGACTTTTGCAGTCTCTCACTATAAATCAAAAAGGCATGAATATAAATAGAATGAAAACAGCAAAAAAAAGCAATAATTTTAAGTACAAAGTTAAATTTAAACTTCAATAAAGTTCTAACATTTGAAAAACAAAAAGACAGAACCATTATAGTCTTGATCTAGGATGCACTTAATGGGAACATAATAATGAACTATAATGAAGATCTCAGCTGAACACAGTAAAATGCCAGTAAAAATGCACAGTCGGCTTTTAATAAGCAATACAGCAGCAAATACCTGGAATACAGTAAGCCATATTTACTTACAGCAGACACTGCAGTCACGGTGCAAAGTGAACACACCCTTTTTCAGCTGAAAAGCATCATGTTTCAGGACAGAGTAAAACTTATCTGCTCCTTATCATGTCCTACAATTAGGCCAAATTCACACTCGGATGAACAAACACGACACAGTGTCATTCTCCAACAAAAAAACCCTAAGCCAAGACTCAGAAGCAGTGCGGGAGAAAAAAAAACACCAGTAATCGTTTAAAGTAATTCGAATTTTGGTTTTGTAGAGGTGGAGGTCAATGCGGGGTTTTTGTTCTTTTATTTTTCTGACATTTCGTTGTAGATCTGCAGCTGTGCTTTGCATTAACGTCTTGTTACCAAATCCACTTGTGTTTTCTTCGACAAACTGTGAAACTTTGCATTGTCTTGCCAGTTCAAAGGACATTGTTTTAGAGGTCTTACAGCTCGTTCAGCTAAAGATTTGCCACCTTAATCCGTGCTGCAATGTTTCCTTTTAAGAGAAGAGGATTTCTGAGAAACCCTTCAAAGAAGGTTTTCTTCTAATTGTACTTTTGAAGAGATTACAACAAGCTAGCTGAGGCCTGTACAATCTGAGGTGGATTCCACAACAGTATTTGTCTCCCACAGACTAAAARACATGCTTGTTAGGTTAAGTGGCAACTCTAAATTGTCTAAATGTGCCCATTTGTACAATGCATGTTGATTTCTTTTTACATCCATACAGCTATTTAACTTCACCCTGCTGAGACAAGTGTGAAAACAAGGAAATAAAAAAAACACATTTAATTAATGAGATTTAATTAGTGTATTTAATTCCATTCCATTGATTAGTTTAACTGTTGTGTTTAATTAATTTCTTAATGTGGAATTGTTAAAATGCTACTGGATTTTTTTTATTCTTCTCTTGAATGAATAAAGTATCTACATAATTTCATAAACATCAGGTTATATGACACTAAAAGCAACACAGCTGTAGATTTTAAGTCAATGCTTATGATATTTCTGTGTCTAATTGTGAAGGTTATCATCTAATTGTGAAGGTTATCAATGCCAAATCCCTCACAATAAAAAAAGACTGTGAATTTAATTAACTTCTTGTCTTGCATATGTATCCTTGAAATATGCTAAAGTGTTGGTTAAAAGAGGATTTTGTTTTTCTGGGATTTTTAAAAGTATTTTATAGGACAGCTGTTCTGGATGAACTAGTAAAATGTGCTGCTTTTTTCTTCTCTTTGTTGACGTTAAAACGTAAAGTTGAGCCTGAAGTTATCTCACTGATACACTAAGCCAAGTAAAACAGAAGACAATACCTATAGGTAATGTGCAGGCTCCTGTCGCGTTAAGATCCTCTAACAAAGTCGACATTATGGGCAGAAGTTTCTGCTTGCTCTCCTCATTTGATATGAAGCCACTCTCCAGCTGCAACACAACGTGGCAGAAAAATCTCACACAACACAGTTCAGACATGTTGCTTACAAAAACGTATAAAGGCAAAAGCAATTCAGTAAGGCGTCACACATTACCTCTAAAGTCGTGAGGTACCCAGACAGCTTCTTGACAATCGGTTCAAGGGCGCAGGTGTTGGTGTGAGCATCACAAACGAAGCCGAGGTTAAACAGAAGGGCATTTCGACTGTACTTTTTATGTTCGATGCACACGGGACACCCGATTAACTTTTTCTCCATAGCAGTGCTATAACAGATAATTAAATTAAAAAGATGGTTAAGTCTGATACAAGTAAAATGCACACCTGGGAATAATTTTGAAAAAGAAGCAGAAGAGCTAAGGTGGGTGGCATACACTGTAATTAGTTTGTTTTGTAGTTCAGGTTTGGTAATAATGTAGACTTGAACCGTGTCAAATAACTCCCGTGAAATATACTCCTCTGGGACCTGTTAGGAAAAAGACAGAACCATGAATGTAACCTAAGTAAAGTAGGTATTAGAGACTTTAATCACAAATAATAATAATAATAATAATAATAATAATAATAATAATAAATACAAATTACAACTAGTTATGTGAATACCTGCAAAGACAACGAGGTACGCCCCAGGTATGACAAAAATCGCAATAAATGCGCATGCTCATTTTAATAATGCATCTATTCTTCATTCATTACTACTGTCTAATAAAATGATTTTAAAGAAACATCCCCACTTACCTGATATGTTATTTTTGGGCCCAGAGTAGGGTGAAATTCACTGAAAAATATACACTCTATCCGTGTGGCCATGTCTGTAAACTTTCTAACAAGGGATTTAAAACTTGCTTAAATAATTTAGCTTCACCTGAATGGTGTCAGAAGTCACAAATGAGTTTCCTCCTTTCTTTTTCTCTGAAGTAAACAGTGCAAGCTAGCTAGCTAGCTAGCTAGGTTTTAGCTTTCGCGGTGAAACAAAAGTTAGTGTGTCGCTTTTAAACGATTTTAAATAGCTGTCACATCGTGCTACCTCCTATACATTGTTCTAATATACTGTTTTAATGAAGCATCGATGCTGTGGTACCAAATACTTTAACAACGCGATTCAACTGTGTGTCTGAACTGGGAAAACAACAACACTGTTGCATTCAGGGATGGCACGGAATTTACATATCCATCGTTAAAAAATGTGCCATCGGGGCAAAAAAAAAAAAAATTAAAGAACAACGTGCGCAAAGTAAAAATAACATTTGAATTAAGGATTATAATGACGTTACTTTTTGAGTAGTCTGAGCCAGAAATATCCTACAGCGTGATAAAAGTATCTTTAAATTACGGGGTTATTTTTAGTTTTACCGTCAGATTTTTCTAACATTTACATGAAATAAAATTAATTAAAGAGCTCTGTTTTTATTATCGTAGTTTTCAGTCAAGAGTATGTTGTTTTCAGTTCTATTTGGCCCATTATTATGCGCACAATGCTGCTACGTTTTTAAATTCCCGATGTCTTAGAAGGAAGCTCTATACAGTCAGTGCTGCGTAACATGCGCCGCATTTGCTGACGTATTACGTCACCAGAACGTTTCAAAAACGATTTTGTGCGCCATGTGTTAAACAGCATGCTGCTGCTTTCAGAAAATCAACTAATTTTTTATGCCTAATTGTGTATAATTCGCATGACAATATACATATGTATATATATTTAGGACTTTTGTCGCTGCATGTCTTGTGTCCTTGATGAGACAGCGAATAAACAGTAGCCGTAAGTCCGCGAGTAATGACGTCCTGACCGTGTTTACTTAATCATGTGGAGAAGAACACTGAGTTCAACAAACAGATGTTTGAGGTGCAGGAGTGCTGGACTAAAGGTAATTGATTTTTGTTTGAAGTAAAAACAACACCGAGCACGTTTTATGTCACCCCACATTGTTTTTACTTTCCTTCAGGAAATAAGTTGGCATAAGTTGTCTAAAACATTATAGTGTGACAGGGCCTTATTCAGGATTAGTAGAACCTCATAAATATAAAGACAAACATTTTTAAAATTAAGAGTTAAAAATATAAATATATATTTTATTCAAAATTCTAATTAAAACTTCAAATCTAGTCCTCTGAATAAGGACAAACAAGTCCCAAACCAATGTCCTCAACAATAAGATGCAGGTTCTCAGGAGGCTATATGCATAAATCTGATCTAAATCTAATTCTCCTCTGAGATCAATAAAGTATTTTTGATTTGAATTGAAATATATTTTTGATTATAAATAATTGTATAATAAATATAAAATTAGGCAACACAGTTGGAAGAGCAACATGTTGCTTCTCAGCAAGGAGGTTGCTAGATAGAATCCCAGCCTGAGACCTTTCTGTGTTGTGTTTACATCTCCATGTGCATGAGTGGGTTTTCTGCAGGTCCAGCTTTCTCTCACAGGCCAAAATCATATTTATTAAAACTAATGAGGCTTGAAAAGGCAAATAAAGGAATACTTTGGGATAGTTCTACAACAAATGTTTGTAATTGTGGTGTTATTAGTCTTTTTGTTTCCAGTTTTTGATATTTATAATTACAGTTTTTGTTCCCAAAAGTACACATCAACAAGCGATTAATATTTTTCCAAATACTTAGAAGAGGCGGTGGCTTTAAAATGAAAATTTATTGTCAAGAAGCTTTGTTACAATAAAGAAATAGTCTACCAAAACACAAATTTCCTAACTTATTGTTTTAGTGTAAATGCTTCCATTACGTCACATTATCAGAAAATATAACATGCACTTCCGTTATGTTGGTGACACAACTTTATCACCAAGGAGGTTATTTTCGGTAGCATTTGTTTGTCTGCTTGTCTGTGTAAATGATTACTAACTCTGTTTACTAAACTACATTTAAAGGATTAGAAGAAAGTTTTTTTTTTTCATTTATGAATAATTGTCCCATTCTAGTTTTTATATTTTCATTGATTTGGCACATTTCTCTTTTTTTAATTCACTTGCTTGTTAATCTGAGCAGCAGATTGATTGCAGGAGACTCGGCAGTAATTTGTTTACTGAGCGGTCGAGGACATTCAGCTACAACTTTTGACCACCTGCTAGCTGTTAAACCTTAGCTGAGAAAGCAATCGATCGCCGTCTCGCACGCTGCATCGTACATCACTCCTCAACTGCGTCCGCCGATAAGATGTTGACCCAAAGTTCAAGAAACTCACCTCTTTTAGTGTCTGTTTGCACTCCGTCGGCCTCACTCAGACAACATTTGCCTTGGAGTGATATGTTCAGAAATAAGGAAGAAAATGTTTTGTTTGTCAGTGGATTTGGAGCTTTCCTAGCAGGCGCAAGAGCAGCGCTCCAGGCTTACCTGCAGGCCAGATCACAGCTCTTCAGGCAGTGGATGTTTGGAGGAGACACTTTGAGGAGAACGGTGTTTCGGAGCCTGAGGTGTCCAGCCGGTACATCGTCGCTCATCTGCTTGGAGCTAAAACAGTGAGCTGCGGTCCTCATGTAAGTTTTCTCTACAGGTGTTTTTCACACTACAAGTATCTCCTCCTGATCTTTACCCAGATGGAAAGTCTCGGGCGGGAGAGGTTAACAGAGTTCCTCAGCAGAGAAAAGACAGAGCAAGTGTGGAGGCTCTGCACCAGACGTCTTTCTAGGTAAGTCTCCACATCTCTGCGCACAGATGCATCTGATGATTGTTACCTAGAATACTCCCACTGTGATGTGCAGGATGCCGGTGCAGTACATCATCGAGGAGTGGGACTTCAGAGACCTAACGCTGAAGCTGAGACCTCCTGTGTTCATACCAAGACCTGAAACCGAGGTTAGAAACAGCCGTACATCACAGACACAACAATAAAATCAGGCCGAAATCCTGAAAACTGACCCGTTTTATTGATCAATTCGGTGCAGGAGATGGTTGAACTTGTGCTCACAGACCTGCGAAGGAAATCCGGACCCGGACTGGGTTCAGAGTCCCAGCTGACATGCGTGGAAGTGGGTTGCGGTTCTGGTGCCATTTCTCTCAGCCTGCTGAAGAGTCTGCCTCAGGTGAGTTAATTGTGTGTTTAGAGATGCTGAATCTCACGTCGCTGCCAGGAGAAAAGCTTTAGACATGACACAAGTCTCTCCGATATACCTTTTTTAAATGCACCAGTAAACAGGATATGAATCACCAGGGGTCTCATTTATAAAGGCTTGCGTGGAAACCATACTAAAAGTGAACGTACGGCCAAAAGGCGGAAATGGCGTACGCCAAAAAAAATTCAGATTTATAAAACCGTACGTACGCACGTTTCTGCGCATCTTTCCTTTAAAAATCACAGCCGCACGTCAGAGTTTGCGCACGAGGTCCCGCCTCAGGTTCTACCCTCTACACGCCCACACTCAACCATAAAC